AAAAGAACAGAGTGTATAGGGTGTTGAAATTATTCAACTCCCCAAACTCTGTAGAGGTTACAAGAGGTATAGGGGGCTTAACCCCAACAAACTATGCGAAAAAAGAGAAGAATGAACTGGAAGACCACCAGAATACAATACAAAGGTGGAACACCTGTTCATTCATAAATCTATACCTCACGAAAATATATGTACTATATATAACGGGTACTAAGACCTTTAATAGAAAAAGACATACATATAAAAATTATATATATAACTGGCTATAAAAATTGCCAGAGAAGGGTTCCCCTGAGGGATATTTAAAGTGAGTGAGAAAAGTGTTCACAAAAGCTAACTAGAAAAAATCCTCATTGTAAGTGTCCTCATTGTAACGGGTCCCCCATTGGCTAATGAGATACACTGGGAGGAACTAATGTTATGAACCCGGTAAGAGTGACGTTCGGGATAGCGATTGGCTGCCAGGATGCGAGGGGCGGGACCTACTTACCCCTTTTAACACGGACATCCACACAGACACTTTTCAGCTCTTGACAAAGGCGGTTAGTCACGCCGAAACGCGCGTCGAGCAAATTAGCAATGCCGATGCATTCACTTTGAGTTTCTTTTGTGTTTTTTTATTTTATTTTTCTCACTTAACTAGACATCCTCTTTGTTCCTTTCATGACCATTTAGGGTCTATTTAGGCAGATGGGAGCTGGGGTATTAGGGATAACCTTTAGGCTGCCTTGAAGCAGCAGATAGTTATTTCTATCTCCCTGGTAATTTGGGAGTCAGCTAGCAGTCCAGGGCCAGCTGGGGTATTTTTTTGGTGCATTTTGATGTTTTTGGCAGCAAATATTCTTGGCTATTAGCCTTACATTCATATTATTCATACTGCACTCTGTTGATACATTTACCCTTATTTGCAACAGTCTCACCACGTCTAGGGACACGTTTACTATCAGGGTATCCTTTTTCAATTAACCCTATATTTACCCCTCTTTCCCCCCCCCCCTCCCCCCCTCTCTCCCCTCTCTGCCTCTTTATAAAGTCCTGGATAAATCTGTTGTGTATACATAATACCTTTTGTTCGGTTCTTTCTATAACAGTGTTTTCTATGCCAGGCAACTTATAGAACTTACAATGAGGATTTTTTCTAGTTAGCTTTTGTGAATACTTTTCTCACTCACTTTAAATATCCCTCAGGGGAACCCCTCTCTGGCAATTTTTTATAGCCAGTTATATATATAATTTTTATATGTATGTCTTTTTCTATTAAAGGTCTTAGTACCCGTTATATATAGTACATATATTTTCGTGAGGTATAGATTTATGAATGAACAGGTGTTCCACCTTTGTATTGTATTCTGGTGGTCTTCCAGTTCATTCTTCTCTTTTTTCGCATAGTTTGTTGGGGTTAAGCCCCCTATACCTCTTGTAACCTCTACAGAGTTTGGGGAGTTGAATAATTTCAACACCCTATACACTCTGTTCTTTTTTCTGTTTGACTTTCAGGTTTCAATACCTATAGGTTACATCTCACTTCACTTGACACCGCCCTTAGAACCATGACCGGCTTCCTTTCTAATAGACAGGATTTCAGTAACTGGTGTAGAGACGCAGAAAATGTCTTCTCTAATGAGACATTAGTAAATGAACTTTCTCCCTTAGATATTAATCAGTCGTTTAATTCTATGACCAAATTATACAAACAACAAATTCGGACATGTTGGGAGATCTCGTCATTGGAAAACTATATTAAAAAAGATATGATCCCTAGGGGCTTAAGAGTACGAAACATACCGACAGCTTATACTGATAATCCTGAATTTATGAAAGAATGGGAGACAGCAGCAGGGATATGCTCAAAAAGATTTATGGAAATCATTTGCTCCTTCGAAAAAGTGAAACTAGAGAATACTAATCTTAAACTGGGGGAAGAGATTGAGAAATTGAATCAATTTAAGGGTGAAGTTACTTTTCCAAATTTGGAGAATAAATTAAAACTGAATCTAGACAGATACCAAGAATCAATCAAGTTTAGAAAACATCAGAAGTTCATTAGGGACTCTAGAGATTACCAAACTGGTAACATCTATAAATTCCCTAATCGACGCTATAGACAGAATTCTGAGAATAATTTGACCTCTGAATATGATTCATCAGACACTGATTCTAGTTCAGTACCCTCAAGTTCACAAACCTCAACCATAACCCCCAGTAATGTCAGCCATCCACGTAGTATTCTAAAGAAAGGGGTTGATTTTTTAGAAATGGGACACCAGGAGGAATACCCAAACTACCAGACTCGTTATCAATCAAGAAACCAAGGAGGGAGGGATGGGCGACGGGGGAGAAGGAGACGTCAATAGTGGATCTATCCACTGTGACTTCTCCTAACACCCCGAGACTACAGGTTATTAATCTCTCTTCGCTTCGACTTGAGAGTTCCCATCGTAATGTCCTAGAAAAAGGTTTATCATTTGTTCCCACTCCCCCCTTTGACAAATTCTCTTGGGCCAAGGATTTACATCTATTTGTGAGGAAATTAGCCTTACATAAATTTCATGAACTAAATAAGGAGAAAAGAGCCAGATCATTAGGCCTCTCTCCTGGGGATGTTGACTGTCTTAACAACTTGGTGGCCCTTCTGGACGAAAATATGCAAACTCCGTCTAGATATACAGATTTACGGTCTAAAAGTCGATTTACCCCTAACTTCTCGGCCTACAGGAACATCGATTTGTTCCTTGAAGCAGTGAAAAACGAGATTGATCACATAGAAGTAAAAAATCTTTCTGCTTTTCCTAACGAAAACCTTTCCTATCGAGAACAACGTGCCCTTAAATCCCTTAAAGACAACAACACTATTGTTATCAAACAGGCGGACAAGGGGGGCAATGTGGTTTTGATGGACAGACCTAATTATGAAAGAATGGTACAGGATGTCCTCAGTAATAGGGATACCTACACAGTCCTTCAATCAGACCCCACAAATGCCTTTCTTAAGAGCTACAAAGAGATTTTGGACGAGGGACGCAGGGAAGGTTTGCTGTCCGATGAGGAGTATCGTTTTATCCTCAACCCCTGTCCTAGGATAGCAACCTTCTACTGCCTCCCTAAAGTTCATAAAAACATCCAGAATCCACCAGGCCGTCCGATAGTCTCGGGGATTGATAATTTGACACAAAATGGGAGCCTATACATTGACCGTATCCTCAGACCCTTTGTAGAAAGCCTGCCATCCTACATCAGAGACACAAAACAGGCTTTGCATCTCCTTATGAACTTACATATTCCACCAACATCTAATCTATGTAGCCTTGACGTTGAAGCGTTATATTCCTCCATTCCGCATCAAAGGGGACTTGGACATATAAGGCATTTCTTGAATAAAAGAGGTATTGAACATCAGGCACATACTGAATTCACCATCAACCTCTTAGAGTTCATCTTAACACACAATTTCTTCCTATTTAATAAGAGGTTCCACCACCAAGTGAGAGGTACAGCGATGGGCACAGCTTGTGCTCCATCGTATGCCAACCTCCATCTTGGTTGGTGGGAAGAACAAATCAGGACCATCGACACATTGTTACCTTTTATGTCCAAGATTACATCATGGTATAGATACATCGATGATGTCTTGATTATTTGGCAGGGAAATGCTGATGAATTCAATAAATTTGTGGCCCTCCTCAATACCAACGAGGATAACCTAAGGTTTACCTCTGAATTTGGGGGCCAGTCTCTGAACTTTTTAGACCTCACCATTTCGATCTCCGGAGATGGTTCCATGAAAACCACTCTCTTTAGGAAACCATCCGCATCTAACTCTCTTCTTAAGTGGGATAGTCACCACCCTAGGCCTCTCAAACAAGGTATTCCAACTGGTCAGTACCTCAGGCTCAGACGGAATTGCTCTGACCTGGGGGATTTCCAAACCAAGGCCAAATCCCTGCGTCAACAATTTAAAGAAAAAGGCTACCCAAATAAATGTTTAAAAAGAGCCTATAAAAGAGCACTGATGACGGACAGGGAAGACCTTTTGTCCGATACATCCGATGCTAGCTCTAGCACCAATAAAACCATCAGGATGATCGGAACATTTGATACCGGTTGGAATGAAATAAAGGAATCTTTTCAAAAATATTGGCCTATTCTCCTTAGAGACCCACATTTGAAAGAAGTACTTGGCCCACGGGTCACTATCACAGCTAGGAGGGGTAAAAACCTCCGTGATTTGCTGTCCCCCAGCCATTACTCATGTAAACAGAGTCTACAGCCTTCATGGCTGGGACGTCAAATCCCAGTGGGTACATTCCAGTGTGGTAAATGCGTAGCGTGCAAATTTATCCTAAGGGATTCTAAGAAAGTAGGAGACAGTGAGGGAAAACATGTCTTTCAAATCTCCCATTTCTTTAACTGTAACTCGGTAGGAGTGGTTTACCTCCTCACGTGCAGCTGTAGAATGATGTACGTGGGGAAGACGTTTAGGCCCTTCAAGGAGCGCATAAAAGAACATGTGAGATGTACCAGAAACCGGGTAGAGACCCCTATCTCCAGACACCTTAAAGAACACCATGATGGTTCATCTAGAAACATACGCTTCTGTGGTCTTGAGTTGGTCAAACGTGAGCCCAGACGAGGAGACTTCGACAAAATTTTACGTCAAAAGGAATGCAGATGGATTTACAAACTCAACACCCTCTATCCTAAAGGACTTAATGAGGGCTTTTCATTTTCCCCTTTCATTTGAAACAATGTGATTGTCTACTTGAAGTATATATAAGTATGTGGAATAAGACTTTATCTGTCTATTCCCTCTGAGTTAGTATCTAACTGGGAGTATGTACCTGCTACCATTTTGCCGCATACTCTATCAATTTCTATCAAGCGAATTCACCTTTTCACTTGATACACTTATCCTGTCTCAATGTCGCCGGTCATGGTTGGGTGACGTTTAATTTTTGATGTGATATCATTAAGTACTTTATTCATTTTCGCTCATACCGCTCTCCTTCCGTTTGTTCTGGTGCCTGCCTTAATTGTTAATTTAATGCCCACATTTTTCGGGTAAATACATTATAATTGTGATCACTGTTTTTATTCATCAACATAACTATATAATATCTCCACTTGTCTCTCTAATCAGGATATTAATCTCAATAAAAGGAGACAAATTGTTTCTAGCTATGTGTCTATGGTTTATACTTTTCTCCAATAGGCAGTAATGAACATTAATATGGGAGGGACTATTGTATTCTTTTAGGTACTGTCTTATATTTAGAACAGTATCTCTGCCCCCCGTTTTATACTAATAACAATGTTCTGTTTATCATATACTGCTATTTATTTTCAAAATGTAACCATAATTTCAC